CATAGGACCTATTCCTGTTATACTTTAAAACACTTACTGGATAAGCAGTTCATCTTTCTAGTGTGCTTCTTAGTAGATATTTTATACAGGAGTACTGCATGTTTTAAATTTAAATGGTTCGTTAAATTTGTCTTTCATATTCCTAAGATTATTGTTCAAAAGCAAAGCTATCCACCCCCTTCTTGCATTGATAAATGTCGCATCTTGGACTATGTGCAGAATAACCAAGCAAGTAGTTAAGAGTATATTTGATTTTTAGATGGCTTTACAAATACTATCTACAAAGAATAACATCTGTTTCTTTAGAGAAGAAAGTACTATTCAGTTATTTTCTCTCATTTAAAGTTTATTTTCTTACTGAAGTCTTTGCATTCATGGTTTAGCTCTTGTGGTTTCATCTGTAATAATGATTCCTTTGCTGCCTTCTCACTGTTTGATTTCTTCTTAGGCAGTTTCATCAACCTTAACTTAATCTTGATTATTTCTGGAAACAGGTATTTTACCACGTAATTTCTGTTCTGTTTGCAGTAATTAAAATGCGTGGTATACTCAATGCCCACTACCTCTCACTGAATTATTAGCCTGGGTAATAGAATTAGCATGCAACTGTCTTATAGCAGATCTGTTTCCTTTTAGTTTTCTTTCTTTTACTATGCTTGTACAGTAAAGACTGGCGTATTGTTTGTGGCAAGTGAATTAGCTTAAACAGTGCCTGAAGGAAAGGACGTTTTGGACCGATTAATGACTAGCCAGAGTTAGGAACCTGATATGAATTCAAAGGATTTTAACCCAGCTAGTCATTAACTCACAGAAAATGCCTGACTTAAAAGTCATTTTTGCCAACTGACAATGTAAGAACTGAGGCTGTGGGAGATGATATTTTGTATTTGAACATTATTGCATTTTTTTCTGTGCAGGTATTTATACTACCTTGGTAGGTAGAATTACTATTTCAGCATTAACATACTTGTATAATTTTAACATTTTATGAACTACTAAATTTCCACGTTAAACAATTATGGTGTGGAACAATCTAACTATTTTTTTCACTTAAAGAAGCTCCTTACCTATTTGTAATATTTTAGTTAATGTAATAATGCAACTCTTATACCAGACATTTGGAACAAAGCTTTCTATCAAGTGTAGGTACTGTTAATCAATTGAAATTTGATTTAGTAGATCTTGTTTAAGATCTTATTTTGAGATGTCGGGATTGTAGTTTCTGAGGCAGTTTTGGTCTATCATAGAAGCTGTTACAGCGCTCTCTTTTGCAAATGAAGGTTGAACTGGTAAATGATGTGGTTAAAATATGTTCTTCAGGCTAAGTTAGATGGATGGGTGTTTGGGGTTAAATTTTGTTCTGTGTGTGTTTTGGCTGTTTGGTTATTGGTTCCCATGGATATGTAAAGAAAGGAGCTACTTGTCTGAAGTTCTCGAAATAAAATCTCATCTGTAGATTCTCTGCAACTGTAAAAGTGTGTGAGTCAGAAGCTGTGGAGGATGAGTGAGATTGGTCAGTTGGTTCATCAGTATAAACACAGTTTAATAATGTTTCAAATTATTTGAGTGACCTTTTTCATTGAGAAGGCTTGTTTTGACTGCATTGTGTTTGATAACACAGAAATAGGATTTGTTTGTTGTGTTTCTTCCCTTCTGCATAATTTCTGGTGTTTTTCTTCAAGAATTGCAAGAGAATATGAGGAAAAATCCCATTAATTCACCTATTCCTGGCACTTTTTAAAAAGTGTTTTTCTATTGTAGCTCTCCTTGCATAGCTGATAGAACTGAAGCGAAGAGAGTTGTTGCAGCCAAGTTTTTATCTGCAGATAGCTTTTAACTCGCAGAAAGCCATCATCACTGAAGTAATACCTTACTACTTTTACCACAACCTGTATGGGACAGAGTTGAAAGAGTTATTTTGTATTTTATGATGATAAACTGGAAAACCCAATGTTGCCCATTTTTGACACAGCAGCTTCAGAACTTAAATTCGTCTAGTGAACTCTCAATTTTAGCAGATTGGTCAAATTTTAAGTGGGACAATGAAACAACAGCAGATCAAAAATATTACGCCTCATGTTTGTTTTGTAAAGGCTAATAGTTATAATCTCCAGGACTACTAAACATAGTAAGCTTGAAACACTTTTGTTTACCTAGCAACACTTCCTCTCTGAGAAAATGACAAATAGCAAATTTGAAATTCCTCAGGCTTAGCAGCAGTTGTACACCCTGAAATCCTACTACAATTCTAACTAATATGGAAGTGGTCTTAAATAGTACTTCTCCAGATAGACAGTTATTTGAAATGTGCTCTTTGGCAGTTTTCTGGGGTTTTGTTTGTTTGGTTTTGTGTAGTTTTGGGGCAGGGGGTGGTGGTGGTAGTGATGGCGTTTGGCTGCCTTTGTGTTACTGCAAGCACGTGCTATTTCTTTAACTTCTGTTGTATTAGAGCTGCAAGTCCCAGCAAGGTGGTTATTTTATCTAGTAATACTACAGTCCTGTCTCTTCATTAGAATCACCATAGAAGGCAGCAGCATCTTAGAGGTACATTGTGATTGGTATCATATGGCATACAAGCCTCAATTGTTTTTCTCCCACAGTAGTAAGTTTCAGTGTGGGTTTTTTTTACATACTTGATGCTATAAATTTAAATGCAATAATTACTGTGTATTTAGAGCATGCCTTAAAATATGTTAGCACTTTGAATAACACCTTCTATCTTTATAGGTTTGGCTGATGGCAAGCACTGTACTTTTCCACATCTGCCTGGTAAAAACTTTGTGTACAATGCAGCAGAAGACAGATTAGAGCTGTGTGTGGATGCTGCTGGGCACTTTCCTATTGGTCCTGACGTTGAAGAGTTGGTTAAAGAGGCCTTAAGTCAAGTGCGAGCAGAAGCTGCTTCAAGAAGCAGGGAAGCAAGTCCTTCACACGGAATGCTGAAGCTGGGTAGTGGTGGAGTAGTGAAAAAGAAATCTGAACAACTACATAACATAACTGCATTTCAAGGAAAGGGCCATTCCCTAGGAACTGCATCTAGTAGTCAACAACATGATCAAAGAGCCAGGGAAACACCACTTTTAAGAAAGCATAGCACAGAAACGGACTTCAGTCCTTCTGCTAAAATTGAGCCTTCTGTATTCACAGCTGCTTCTGGTAACAGTGAGCTTATCCGAATTGCTCCGGGAGTTGTGACAATGAGAGACAGCAGGCAGCTTGACCCCACTTTGATTGAGGCACAGAGAAAAAAGTTGCAGGAAATGGTCTCTTCTATTCAGGCTTCAATGGATAGACATTTGCGGGATCAGAATACAGAGCAGTCAGCATCAGTTGATCTATCTCAAAGAAAAGTAGAGGCAGTGAGTTCAACTGCTAAAACTGGGAGCTTTCAGGCTGGCTTACCCGAATTGTTTCCTGCACCAGGTGGTACTGAACACTTGAATACCGAATCAACTGATGGTAACATGGTGAATTCTGTGGGAACAACATTCCCTGCAAGGTCTAAAGCACAAAAGGGAAATTCTGTTGAGGAGCTTGAGGAGATGGATAGTCAAGATGCAGGAATCACTAATGCAACTGAGCCAATGGATCACTCTTGATAGGTTAAAATCTAATAAGGGTAGAAGAAATTACTGTTCAAATGTAATGTTTATTGGCTGGGCCACACAAAGTGATTAGTTATTAAATCTTGTATGTATGTCAAAGATTATATCATCTTATTCAGTGCATGATAAGCAAGTGTGTGATTGGCAATAGCTTTCAATATTACCATACTGCTGCCCAGGCTGGCTCTGTTACCTGTAAATTAGTTATTAGGAAATGCACTGAGATGAATATCTGCTGTAAATGTGGGTTCTTGAAAATTCCTTGTCATTTTTAATTCCTTAAAAGTCTTAAAATTTAAGCCCATGCAAGGTTCTTACCATGCTAGTTTAAAGCTACTGGAAAGGCTAGAAGAGGCAAAACTAGAAACGTGACAAAGTTAATCCTGTCCCAGGTACTTAATTCCACTCAACAATACACTATAAACATTGAATTGTACATACATTTCAAAAAGCAACTGAAACTAAACTTCTGCTAAACTTGATAATGCAGCATATACAGTACTTCAATTACATTGTGCTGGCACTTCCTCCGATTTAAAAACTTTTTCATTCATACAGCTGTATACGATTGTCAGAAATCTTGGAATAATTGTAACTTTAGTAAACTCTCTAATTTCTGCATATTGTCAGTTGCAGCAAGTTAGAAAAAAGGCTACTTAGTGTATGAAGAAGATAAAGTGAATGTGGTGTGGTTATGCATGGCTGTCTGAGCCAACACAACCATTTTGGTGCTCTGTTAGTAAGTACACCCAAATACCGAGCTGGTCAGATGTTGTGCAACTTCTAATACAACTACAGGAGAGAAGAAGTTGGCAATTGCAAGAAGCAACACATGTTCAATGGCAAAATCCATTTCTTTTAAAAGACTTTGATTACTAGCATTGGTTAGTAATGGCAAAAGTTAAATAACAGCTGTCCTCTTCAGAGCAGGTTAACAATTTATTGGAAGGAAATGACTCTCTAACATACATTATCCTAAAATATCAGTGATAACTGAGCTGTTGGAAGCTTGCTGTTTACTCCATGGAAACAAGGAATACATGCTGTTTTGGTGTCTGTAAAGACTGCCCACCTCTATTAGCCTCACTTCAGTTTGTGATGCAGATTTCCCTGCATCAGTGATAATGTAGCTGGTATCCACTTAAGTAGTGTGTTCATCAGACCTGCAGTGCTAGTTCTTAAGAAGCAGCCATTGTGCTTGCTCCCTAAGGATGGAACGTGTATCTGATACTGCACTTTGCTTCCTATCTTCATAGTCATATTTAAGTGCACTATTGTTGCTTCCTCTAATGGTAAAATAACATTGAATGGATGAAAGATGTTAGTACAGCTTCAAAGGAATTAAGAGCATTTAAATATTGAAGTCTGTGTTTGTGCACATGTGGGTTTTTACCAGTTCACAAATGTTGTTTGTATTGTATATGTTTGTATTCAGAAAAGTCTCCTCAGTTTTTACATTTCTAATCACTTAAACAGTTCTAAGCATTAGTATGATAAAATGTCCCGTGAGGGAGGATTTATTTTTGTATGTAAAAATTAACTGAAGCGAGTCACTTAAAGGATAGCTCCCGTTTTGTCAAAGTAAATTAAAATGCCTCTGTTGGTTAACTTTTTGTGTAGAGGGAATAAATATTTTATGATTTAGTACACTACTTATAGGTAAAAAATAAGAATCACCTTTTCACAAATAAATGAAAATTTTTAAGATCTCAAATTGCTAACCTGTAAGTTAGCAATTTGGAAGCTTGGAATGTATGAAGTAATTTGGCTCACCAGAACTGACCTTGCTGATGCACTGATTAACTGGCAGGGCTTATTCAATGAGAAACAGGATGCACATGCAGCAGCTGGAAGCCTGCCATGACTTCTGAAAACATTTAGTCTCCCATGAATTGGTCTAGCCGTCTGAAGGCTATTTCAATATAGCAAATGTTGAGTAGAGGTTTGTGCTTTGTCACAGTGTGAGGTTTAGAAAAGTATAGCAGTGGCCTGTTCCTGGGAAGGAGTTTAAGTCGGAAGAGGCGGGGGGGGGGGGGGGGCCTGGGCTAAAGGGGGGGGGGGGGGGATCACCTGGATCTCTTGCATTTTAGACAAGGTAACTATCACTTAGACATTTTTAACCTTTTCTTTTGAAAAAGAAGTCTTCCTCGGCTGAAGAAAATATGAGTAGTGTATATGAGAGAATTTTAAGTTTGAAATAAATTGAAATATTTATTGCACATCATCCTTATCTCAAGGGAAGATGCTTACTGCTTTCATGCCTTTCCAGTAAGACTACAGAAGCTTGTGTGCCTTTTATTGTGTAAAGAGGAAGGCTTGGTTTAATTTTGACACACTTCCCATTTCAGCAGTAATTTGAAATTTTTCTTCTTATGTAAATAGAAATGGACACAGATAATAGCTCTGTTTGACACACCCTTAGTGTCACATCACCTTGGGTCCACTCAAGTCATGTAGATCAGAACTCTCCAGTTCATAAAACAAAATGGTTTCAAAAAGGAATGGTAAAATGGTGTCAAAGATCTGCTGATGTGAATTCCTCCGGTGTAAAGCAGGATTGTGCATATTTCTTTGCAGTGTTCTTATTTCACGTAGCTTTCTCATGCATTTAAATATCAGTGTTTTTGAGAAAGATGGCTTTTGATACTCTCAAGTGAAGCTAAACTTCATCTACATGCCGGTGAGATGTGTAACTGTACGGGAGAAGTGAAATAAAGAACACTGAAGTGTAAGTTTGAAGAGATGTTTCATTTGATTGCTAGCAGTGGGTGCAAACGTAAGTTGAGGCAAATCCGTGTGCCTGTCTTAGGAGCACCCATGTGCTTGTTAGATTTCCCTGTTAGAGTCAGGAAAACGGTGGTGGGGTACAAGGGCAGGGAAGATGTTGACTCATTGTGGATGTGAAGCCCTGTCAATAGGACTTCTCAAATGGTGTGAAGAGTGTCCCTTTCTCAACAAACCCCCGACTTCTCGCTACTGAATTGCCTCTGGACTTAGGCTGTGGTTCTAAATTCTTTTTGAGTACCTGCCTTGATTACTTTCTCGTCTAGGGGCCAACCACCTTCTACACAGGGTCTCATGGCAAAGAAGACTTAAATTATTTGAAAATCCTAAACTTTACTATGGCTTAGTATGTATAACCTAAATGAGAGATGATTACTGAAAATACAGGCCCAGTACAAAAAAAAAAAAAAGGAGAATGAACTGGATTGATGATGAGCATATGGGAAACCTCAGAAGAGCAGATCAGTTTTCCAGGCAAATGCAAGATTTTTACTACTTCAAATGGCTGGCTGCTTAGTAATACTGACTTTTTGATACTGCTGTTTCTCTGTGAATTGTTTGCATTTCAGTGAGGGGAAAATAAATAGCAGCTTTTCAAATGAAATCGTATATTTGGGATGTCTTCACTGTTACAGTCACAAAACAGCAACGTATATCGTTGGCTTTGTGAATCCCGTGTAGTTTATATTAGTCTTCTGATAGATACAGAGTGTGAGCTAGACGTTGCCTCTGACAGAATGCTCTAGCAGCATCACAGAGGCACAGTGCCACAAGGCTGGCTGCTAACAACCCTGTACAACAGGCATACGTTCAAGACCAAAATGCTTAATTTACAATCTTTCAAAAAGTAGAATCTATTGTCACTGTCACGAGGTTAGCAGAGTTGCTTGCTACTTTTTCAATGCACTGAAAATGCCAGGTAGTAAAATTCATAGTATGCTTACAATTGGGAGAGCGATGCTCCATCTGAAATATATGAAAAATGAACGATTTAAGAAGATGCCACTGTTACCTCCACATTTGTTTGGCTCCCATTTTCAAGTAGCAGAATCTACATGCTTTTGTAAAAAAATAATAATATGAAATTGATCCTTCTGTTTAAAAAACCACATCAGTAAGTGGTTTCTTTGTTTTGCGTGTGGATATCAGTTTAGCTTCTTAAAATTGAAGAAGTTGCTTAAGATCTTTAGAATGCAGGATTCCCTCTGAGCCCTTACGCCTGCGGTTGAGCAATAAAAGGTTGAAACAAGAGTGGTATTTTCAGAATTATTTTACGTTTAATGAGGATTATTGCCAAGAAATGAAAGAGTGCACTTTTAGGAGGGAATGCTATTTAAAATGTATAAATAAGAATTAAAATAGTGTATATATTTAGAAAACAAATCTTTTTAAACAGTAAGTGCTTTACATGTTGAATTAAAAATAAATTAGCATAGAAACTGTACCATCTTCACAGTACTGGCTGTTATCCAGCACAGTTTGGTTTGGTTTATTTGTGATTGCTGTACTAATTATATTTGATTTTTTTATCTGTAATGTAACAATAGTGTATTATAACAGTATATAGTGTACTATACTACACTTCACTGTACAGTATTTGGAATTTTCTTTGATTGCTATATTAAAACTATAAGTTAAAACATCTGCTTTGGTTTTATAAGGTGCAACTTTTATCTAGCCTTTCACACATTAGCCTGTTTAATTAACGCTGATTTGGCTACAAAATGAATGAGTTGTAATTATATTAACTTCTGCATTCTACATATAAATTGCATTATACTTCCAGACATGAATACTAGTACAGAAGTTGAAAAACTGGTACAAATCTTAGAAAAGTAAACTCTGATGTCATCCATTTTGCTTTAGTTATGTTTCTGTTTAAAAGAAACTTTTTTGAAAGAAAAACTCTTTATGGAGAAGTTTTCTTGACCTCATACCTGTTCTGAATATTTCATTAAACACACAGGACCTTTGAATTTGAGAGATTTTTAGAACAGGTTTTTATATATTTGAGACCAAAACCTGAGATCTGAATCTTTTTTCAAAGTTGTCACCAAGAAGAGGGTGTAGAAAAACGCTGACCAAGTCATACATGACATTTAAGATAACTTGCAGTCTGTGGTTTGAAACATTGGTCAAAATGTATTTCAAAGCAAAATTTTAATGCATGCAATATGCAAGTATGAATAGTGTAATTTGGAAGAACTAGGCTTTTGAAAATTTGGCAATGCTCAAAGATGAACATATTGACAACTACTTAAATTATCTCTGTGCTTTTTCCACCAGCTACACGTGGTATTTTGTTTCAAAAATTGTCTGTAATCATTACTTTTGAGCCTAAAAAGAAGTCATAAAACCCATCTGCAAAACTCTGTTACTTCTTCCTGTATTTATCGAAAGGCTTTAATTCAAAGTGTGCTAGCATTAAAGCATTCTTTAAAATGATGGGGGTAAATATACAGAGTTAACTTTGATTGCATGTCATATCATGAAGAATTGAAAATTATCCTTTGGAAGATTTGTATTTCAAAGGCTTAAATGCTTAATGCTAAGCTAGAAATTTACTCATCTTTATTAATGCAGTGTTTACAATCTGAGCCAAAACCAGTACTGAATGTAGGAAGCAACCAAGTTAAGAGTGCTTTCAAAGTGTTTTCACTTTTCTTCTGCTACTAATTGTACAGCCTTAATGTCTGTCTAAATTTTTTCTATTTTAGATTGGAGTTGTTGGGTTTGTTGTTTGTTTTTTTTTTTCCTTAGGTATGTCCATAGCAAATCTGTTCTAACATCCCTGCAAAATCCCAGCTTCCTGCCAGAACAAGACCCCTCACAACGTAATTTTCTCCCTAGGATCAGGGTGAGAGTGAACCTTGAATGTTCTTCAGCACGTGTAGTGAGTTGTGGAAGGTGCTTTTGGTATTACGAAGAGTCCATTCACACGTATATTGACGGCAAAAGTTAATAGAAACTGTCGCTTTGTTTGATGTGGAGTTTATTTTATTGAGGCTTTGATATATGTTGGCTTCTACTGATCTGTGATGTTTTGGATATTTACTTCTTAATGATAGATAAAGAAAAGTAGTAGTGTTTGGATCCATAGTAGACTTGATGGCCAAGCTGACATTACAGAAACATGGTTGCCGCAACTGTTTTGAAATGGGTTATTCTGATTTGAATTACTTAAATTGATGTACGCTGGGTGATTCTGAACACTTATTAATACCATCAAAGGCATTGGGCTTCAGTGTAAGCATGACCTCCGTTGCAGTAACTTGCAGACACTTTAAGAGGCTTCAGAAAAGACTATTATACTCTGTTAATGGAAGGCATTGATTTGATGATTAAGAGAGAGCTGCACAGACTTGTGTTTGGACTTTATCCACCTCTGTTTTTTTAAACGACTACCTAATTTGGTTTTCTGCTGGAAATAATACTTCCAGTGGCTTGTCTTGCTGGTAGCAAATCTAATTTCATTTCTAAAGTGATCCCGTAGATCTGGACTGGGTCTGTGCTGTTTGGAAACTTGTATTCAATAAGTAAAAAATTAAAAGAAAGACGGCAGGTGGAAGGAAGTTACCAGAAATTAGAAGAAGGTTTAGAAGGTGCTGTGGTTCTTATTAGCCAATAGTCTGTGGAGCCTGGCTGCGTGAAATGCACAGTCATTTTTTAGAAAACTTTAAGGCATGGTTCAAGCAACTTCTTTCAGAATAATAAAACTTGATTTTATAGGCTATTTTGTCAATTCAGTCTATAAGATTTTCTTTAAAATGAAGCTTCTTCCAGATTGTCATGTTGTATAAATGTAGTGAGAGACTTGCCAGATGCCCTCCTAATCCTAACCTCTCTCTTCGTTCCCACATGCATTTGTGCAGACTCTGCAAATCCTAAAGAGGTCTCTTCTGATGTTGGGCTAGCTTTCCTGTTTGCTTTCATCTGCCATTTGGACTTACACACTGAATCATTTTTACCACGGACGCTTTTGTAAGCTTATTGTCCTCTGTTTATACTGCTGCTCATGGAGACAGTAAGAGGCAATAGATAAATGACCCAATTTCACACAGATTAGACTGATAGAAATGAAAACCTTGTTTGATTTCCTCCGAGACCCGTATGTATGGGACAGAAAGGAATGAAGGGAGATTCCTAAGAGAGCAGAGGACTTGTGGGCATATTCAGGTAGAAGGAAGAAGATACATAAGGATTTATCAATGATTCTAAAAATCACCAGGTAGTTCTGTAGGG